GACAGGGCTTGGCTTACCACGGCGGCAGTTAACAAAAAGGGGAGTAAGGGGTCCAAAATAAATCACCCGTGACACTGCACACCACTCAAAACGGATACGTGAAGAAAACCACTGCCACCACCAGGGAGTCTGCCGCTTCAGGCCCACAGCACCTGTCCGGCAAAGGATAAAAGGTTATAATTCTGACAAAAGGATAAACTAAAGAAAACAACAAAATACACCAAATCTGAATTAATGGAAACAACAAATTAAAGCAAATGTAAAGGACTGCAAGGAATAAACAAATTAAATCAAATTAAAGTAAATGTAAAGGACAGCAAGGAATACACAAATTAAGTCAAATTAAAGTAAATGTAAAGGACGGCAAGGAATACACAAATGTAATAATCAATGTCCTTATAGTCGTGTATTAGGAACATTACCCTGACGCCTAAGAACGGCTCCCGCAATAGGCCAGAGCAAGCAGTCTGGGCCTGTCCACAGCGAGGAGCGAAGCTCACAGAGCCCAAAACTCGAGAGCCAAAACAGCAGCACGGGACGGGAATGATGGCCAAAGGTGGGGAGCGAGAATAGTTAGAACACCCCTGGAAAGAGGATTAGAATTACTATAAAATCTGTATGAAAGTGACGGTGTAACTTATAATATGGGGGAGGGGCTCATACGTACCACCCGGTGCAGCCAGGCGCAGCCACAGAGCCGACAAGGGAGGGAATGAGACCCGCAAATCCCACAGCCAAATCCCGCTGTGACATAAAGAATTGATAAGGCAGGGGAACTACGCAGCAGATTTAAAGAGAGCAGACAACGGCACTCAACAACAGTGTGCAACGCCGCTATCACGGAGCCTCTGGCGGAGCAAATGCCTCCTCTAACACCCCGGACGTCAGCTGCGCTAAGATGGGAAAGGGTCAGCAGTGTGCAGCTTTTGACCATGAATAAATGACAGACTGCACAGTACTTTACCTGTCCGGTAGAGAGTAGGACATGAATACTGCCACGCCAAACAATTTGCGTTACTCCGCCAAGCTGCAGCCACCACAGGAGAAGCGGAAATGGGAGGGACCCAGTTTGGCACCTCAGTTTAAATAGCCGGTGCGCACAATTGGTGTGCTGGCCCGGTGCCAAGCAGCGGCACAGAGGGAGAAGACCTCCGGTCACATCAGCACAGAATACTGCTTTGAACCGGTATACATGTATCTTGTGATTGAATAATACCCTCTCTTGTATTTAAGCATGTGAAGGACACTGATCTGGGAACTACTTGTCCCACGCAGCTCTGTATGTGATGACTACTTCCATTCTTGCAAGGATAATTAATACATGTATCTTGATATTGAAGATCAAGCCGGTGACGAGTGATATTTTTATTAACAAAAGATAATGACTGTAAAAGCAACCACATTTTTAACAAGCTGAACAAATATTAAACTGCTGAAATGTACAGTAGTATAAAGCTGAACTGAAACTATGAACCACATGCAGTAAATAGGATTGACAGAAGTTTTGATGATATCTGCATTTTCCATCTTTCTTCAGAAGGTTTAAACAATACCAGGTGGCCAGCCATGCAGGCAGGCGTAGAAATGGAGCAGCAGTTGTTACAATTAGATTCCCAAGCTAATGAAGCAAAGCTCTCCCGCTATTTTAGTCACTCATAACCGCACTTCTACAGTACAGCGTTCTTAATAGACCCTTCCTTTTATCCTCGTTGTGACAATTTAATACCGATAACAGTCCAAAGTCAAAGACTGATGAAAGTTTCAATTAAACTGGATCAAATGTATCAGTTGACAAAAGAAAGGACAGAGGCAGTACAAAGAAATAGACACACTCCCTGTGTTTCAGTATTTAATAAAAATATAGAACAAGGTATAGGAATAATATAATTTGGTTCAATTCTAAAATAAAGGGTTTCCTAAATCAATTTAAACAACGCACTGACAGAGATGGAGGAAGATAGACAATGCAATACAGTATTTTGAAAGAGTGTAATATTTTCTTCAGTTTAAAACTTTTATATAATAAATATTAGCCACTTTGGGGGGGGGGTCATGCGCTTATAGCGGCCTGGTTTAGACGGAGTTAGACTCATGGAAGTCTCATGTTGATGTATGGGTCCTGTAATGTCCATGTAAACAGTGTGTCCTACATTGTGTTGCTCAATGTCTCAAAAGTTTCATGTGCAGGTGTTAGACCATGAGAATGGTTGGGTGAACTATCAGTGAAATTCCCTTGTGTAGTGTTTGCACTAGAAAGTAATACTCTGCTTGTTTCTGTTAGCTAAGCACTTGTTCCAAAATAGGAAATAAATTCCCACACTGAATGTAACTATAAGTGAGCCACAGTTTGCCCCAATATCAATACACACCCACACAGCGTTTGTATGAATCACAGAGTTGTGAATAACATGACATATATTACATTTGCATCTATAATGAGGAGATATTAGAAGCACGTTTTTATGACTTTGCTTGTGCACCAAGAGGCCTATCTTTTCATCAGGCCAAGATTAGCTAAATGGTTTTGCCTCATCGGGCTCAATGTTGGTGGGTTGACTTATTATCACTGTTTTAGCTGCTATATGCTATACTATCTTGAAGCAGCAACACACATTAGCACAGGGACATTCAAACCAACCTGATCACCTCCCTGTGAAAAAAGCATTCATTGGCCATATATTCTATTTGAGATATTAAACGGAAAAGCAAACAAATATGCTCACAAATAAGTGGTTTAATCCCCAAAGACCTACAGCCTGTCGAGTGTTTTAAACATTTAGACTCAAAGCCTGAGGTTTGTCAAATAAAAATGGCTCCTTGGTTGCAGCCATCCTCAAGGCCATCGAGCAGGGACACCGCCTAACCCTGCTTTGCAGAAGGCGGCAGAAAAACAGCTGGGAAATAAGGACGCCTCTAGATGTTATTCTGCCACCGTCTCATCTTACATTAGGCATTAGCCCGTCAGTTGGCACGAGCGCATGCCCACAAGCAGCAAAACAACCCACACGCTCTACACAACTGACTAGAGGCGGGGTGATGATGGACCAGTAGTGATGTGTGGCCACTTCTGAAAAACATTTAAAATCCTTTTTCCTACTTGCTAAGTTTTTTTATTTAAGGATGAGATATTGCCAATGGATCTGTTTTTATGGACAGTCGCCAATGATATGAGGTTTTTTTGTTCATTTTGTCATATGTTATATTCCATTAATGTTCAAGATGTATGTTCCTAAATTAAAAATGTATGTGTAAGAATAAAAAAGCTTTCAAACAACAACATTTCCTTCAAGCACATGCTACCCAGACTGCATAACAAGTAACTTTTTTTAATTAACTAGACATTCAACAACAGATACGTTGCTGTAGGGAGATTTCGAGGCTGAAAATATAGGGCTACATTCGGATATAAACCTTTTTTATTGCTTTCTTCTACTGAAATAAACTCTATATACTTTACTATTTTTCAAGCACAAATTTTGCCCAAGCTGGGCAGATGTCCATTTGTCTTCCACCCAAAACAGCCTCCAGTTGTATTTTCATACACTCAGTAAACAGTTGAAAAGACAGGCAGTGCCAAGGATCCTGCTGGGAAACTTTCCACTCACATAAGAAATACACTGGGCTGTGCAACTAACACATCCTAATCTACCAATTAAGTCATATTTCAAGCTGCAATGTGTAAAGAATGTATTAATCTCACTTTTTTGTAGTAAGGTTAATCAGCCTTTGACAATGGACAAGAAAGATGAAAGTGGTTCAATGGTGTGCACTGAGTATGTTGTTAATGCCACTTTGATGTTTCTTCATGGATAATACATTATTTTATCAATCAATTGTTTTTGACATATAGGTGCAAGTAAATGAAACTCCCTTTATACATTGAAACCATCTGATAAATATTTTGAACATCTGACATGTATGTTTTTTATGGCAATTTCTCCTTTATTTGAAGAATTGTAGATGGATTTGAATCATTTTGTATTGCGTTTTAATTTAGCATCAACATGTATATTGTCCAACCAGACCCATGATTTTCAATTCATTTTATAATTCAGTTAATCCAACAATTTCTAGATACCTGCTTGGATATCAGAATAGAACATTTTGTTATAGGATTCATTAAATAAAGCCTGCCAAATACTGAAAAAACACGTACCTGGTAAAATGTATTTTCCCTTTGGAATAATGTATTGCAATACAAATATAAAGGAAAGATTTAAAACGCATGAATGTAGTTTCATTTTATGAAAGTACCAGAACCAGAAAATGATAATTGTCTTCTTTTTAGATGCAAAGTAGGACACCACACTATGGTGTGTAGTTCACTTACTACTAATGCTTTAGTAGTAAATGTACTACTAATGTTCTCGTAGTAAATTGAGTGATGGCAGTCGACTGCGTATGAAAGCTGTCTCACTAACACATTTGTTGACTTATTTTAATAATTATGTAAGAATTATCCTTTATGTTAAACATGAATTGTCACTAGAAACAGAGGGGGACAGTCTGTGGTTATAGACCATGAAATAACAGACCATAGCCAGTAATCTTACAAGACATGTACAGTAAGTGTATGTCTGTGAAGATTCAATTATAGAAGGTGGGGGTAAAACATGACATACATAAACAAGTAGCACATGGAAGGTTGGTCTTAGACTGTAAATGATGTAATGTAAGGGGTAATTAAAATGCTAAACTACCTAATCAAAGCGTAATTTCAACTAATCTGAAGTTAAAGAGTTCTCTTCCCTGTTATGGCCCAATTAGCCAGAAGAATTAGCCTATCAGTATTACAAAGAAGGAAGGAGTATGTAGCCCCAAGCCAGTACAGGCCTTTCTGTGTTACAGTTAACAAATGTTTCCCCTGTGTGTGTGTGTGTGTGTGTGTGTGTGTGTTTTTTATTGCTGCTCCACTTTCCTCCCACATGTTACTGACATGCAAATCAGGTGAATTAGAGACTCTAAAGTGACATATCCTGTCATTTATCTTGGTTAATGGATCGTGTTTGTTGCCTTAGTAAATCAAGCTACATCTCACCTTTCAGACATGTGGCATTGTTGTTAACTGATGGCTGGTGGAGCAGTTAAAAGCTGCTAGGATTGATTCACAAAAAGATATTGGAAATAACAGCCTATCAATTATTCTCCAGTGTAGTAATGCTGTGAACACACTGTAATATACTGAACGAACAATGTAAGCTGTTTGCATAGCAGAAAACGTCCAGTGTTATAATATCAGCAGTTATTGTTTTATGTGGCTCAGTAGTTATTGTTTTATGTGGCTCAGTAGTTCTCAGTAGAGCTAGCCTCTTAGCAGCCTAATGAATGTTAAGTATTGGGCACATTATGACAGAAGTGAAAAGCTAGGCTACTGAATTTCTAATTAGATTTCAAGGTGGTGTATTAGCAGAGAGCCTCAACTCATGTAAACGAAGCAAAGCAATAGGCTGTGTAGTAAAATGGTGATGGAGTGAGTCACGCAAGCAGGAGCATGTTGTTAAACCTCTTAAGCAAACGAGTATTCAGTAATTCTTCCAATATGATGATGATTTGATGGGGGAACGTGTTATTTCTGAAGTGTTGTGTTTGTGATGAATCCTGGAAGAATTAGGAATATTTGCTCCGTGTTTCAGGGCTGAAACGTGGGATACTGCATTTTATGTCAAATTTAAATTTAAATATTATATGAACAATATTATACACACTGTTGAGATTACCATCGTACATTTTGGTAAAAAAGATCATGCCTTTGAAATACACTGACGCATGTGAGGGTGGTTAAGTGGTTCTGAATCTATTTGAAGGGTTTCTCCTGCACTCTCACCAATAAGGGCATTATTCTAGGTGCTTATATCTACAGTATAAAGAAGACAGGGTTGCACACTGCTGAGGAGCCATTTAGGCCGGCATCCTACACAATGCTAATACTAAAAATACAAAAAAACATCATCATCCATCCAGCCTTATATTTCAGAGTAAATGCCTCTCTTCTTTATATGGCTGATTGAGTGGTTACAATAAGTATACTCTACTGGAACATTCTACAAAGAGATGTAGTTCAGCTTTATTCAGCTGATCATGGATGTAACTAGCAAATACT